GTGGGGCTGGGGATGGGATGGGATGGGATGGGATGGGATGGGATGGGGATGGAATGGGATGGGATGGAATGGGATGGGATGGAATGGGATGGGATGAAATGGGATGGGGATGAAGACCAGGATGCAACAGGATGGGATGGAGGATTGGGGATGGAGACAGGGATGGGGATGAGGATGGGAACAGGGATGGGCGTAAGACCCAGGATGGGATTGGATGGGATGGGGAGGAGATGGGATGGGGATGGGAACAGAGGACAGGGATGAGAACGAGGATGGGAGGGAATGGGGATGGGGGACAGGGAGGGGATGGGATTGGAGGGGATGGGGGGGAATGGGGATGAAGAGGGGGATGGGGATGAGGATGAGGATGGGGATGATGGCGATGGGGACAAGGATGAGAATGAGGATTGCGATGGGTGACAGGGATGGGGATGAGGATTGGGAGAGGGATGGGGACAGGGATGAGGGCGAGGATGAGATGGATGGGATGGGGATGATGGAGATGGGGATAGCGTTGGGGATGAGGATGAGGACAGGGACAGGAATGGGATTGGGATGATGGAGATGGGGACAGGGCCAGATGTCGATAAGGATGGGGATGGAGAGGGGGATCAGGATGGAATGGGACAGGGACAAGGATGAGGATGGAGACGGGGTTGGGGATGGAGAGGGGGCCAGACCCGGGTCCAATGGGTCCCGTTGGGTCTTGGTCTGTCCCGGTGGGTCCCGGATGGTCCCGGGTGATCCCGGGTGGTCCCAGTGGGTTCCGGTCTGTCCCGGTGGGTCCCGGGTGGTCCTGGTCGGTCCCGGTGGTCTCGGGTGGTCCCAGTGGGTCCCGGGTGGTCCTAGTCGGTCCCGGTGGTCCCGGTGGATCCCGGTGATCCCGGGTGGTCCTGGGTGGTCCCGGTGGATCCCGGTCGGTCCCGGGTGGTCCCGGCTCTCCGCGGGTTAACCCCGAGCGCTGCCGCCATTGGCCGAGCGCGGCGCGGGGCAGCCAATGGGGACGCGCCGTGCGCGTCGGCCCCGCCCCCAGAGCCGTCCGGACAGCGCCGCTCGGGGACGGTCGGGAAAGATCGGAGAGAATCGGAACCGCTCGGAACCGTTCGGTGCCCATCGGAACCGCTCGGGGACCATCGGAACCGCTCGGGGACCATCGGAACCGCTCGGGCCGGGCCGGGCCCGTTCGGGTCGGTTCGGCTGCGCTCGGGAAGGATCGGGAAGGATCGGGGCGGTTCGGTCGCTCTCGGCCCGGTTCGGCCCGGCCCGCTCGGCTCCGCCCGGATCGGTTCGGCCCCGCTCGGCGCGGTTCGTCTCCTCTTGGCCCGGTTCGGCTCCGCTCGGGTTCGCTCGGTTCGGTTCGGTTCGGCCTCCTTGGGCCTCGCCCGGCCCCACTCGGCTCGACCCGGCCCGGCTCGGCCCGGCCCCGCTCCGCTCTAGGCCCGGCCCAGCCCCGGTGGTAACGCCCGGGAGGTGGGGGGGCGGGGGGGGCTGAGCATCCTCCGCCGGCCCCGGGACTGGGCGGGAGGGAACCGGGGAGGGACGAGGCGGGGGAACCGGGCGGACCGTGACAGCGAGGACATGTCGTGACAGCGAGGACAGGGCCACCCTGCACTGTGACCCGCGTGGGAAGTGACTCCGCAGCACCTGTGACACCGAGGGACCGACACCCCCCCCCCCACTGTGACACTGGGGGACCACCGAGGGACAGAAACACTGCACGGTGTGACCGAGGGACAGAGCCACTGCACGGTGTGACACCGGGGTCAGAGCCACTGCACGGTGTGACACCGGGGGACAGAGACACCACATGTCGTGACACTGAGGGACCACAGCCACCCCACGGTGTGATACCAGGGGACCTCAGCCTCTCCATGCCGTGACACCAGGGAACAAAGCCACCCCCTCAGTGACACTGAGGGACCACAGCCACCCAGCACCGTGACACCGAGTGACAGAGCCACGCCAGACTGTGACACCAAGGGACAGAGCCACCCAGCACGGTGACACTGGGTGAACCCTGAGCCTGGCTGGGCTGTGACAGCCAGTGACTGAAGCCACCCCAGAGCACAGAGTGTGACACTGGTGACAAAGCCACCGCACCCTGCGCCGCTGAGGGACCAGTGACTGGTCAGTGACAGTCACCCCGGGCTGTGACACCAGGTGACTGAAGCCACCCTGGATGATGACACCAAGTGGCCAAAGCCACCCTGCACCGTGACACTGGGTGACTGAAGCCACCCTGGATGGTGACACCAAGTGACCAAAGCCACCCTGGATGGTGACACTGGCTGAGCCCCAAGCCTGGTACCTGCTGTGACACCGGGGGACCGGAGCCACCCTGACCTGTGCCAGGGGTGACCCGCCAGCCTGGCACAGGCTGTGACCAACCTGAGTGCCACTGGGTGACCAACCCACCCTGGACTGTGACTCTGGGTGACTGACCCACCCCTCCTGGGGACACGGGGTGACCGAACCCACCCTACCCGGGTACAGGGGGTGACCGAACTCGCCCCGTCCCCCACCCCGGGTGTCCTCCCGGCGGCCCCGTGCCCTGGTGCAGCCATGGGTGCGCTCGGGGGTGCCCCATCCCCGCCGTCCCCGCCGTCCCTGCTGCTGGCCCTGTTGCTGCTGTGCCCGGGGGGCTCTGCGGGCGGGTCCTGCCCCGCTCACTGCATCTGCGCCTCCAACCTGCTGAGCTGCTCGCAGGCCAACCTGAGCCTGGTGCCGTCGCCGCTGCCGCGCTTCGCCTCCGTGCTGGACCTGAGCCACAACAACGTGTCGCGGCTGCGCGGGGACTGGAGCCCGGTGCGGCTCCCGCACCTGCACACGCTGCTGCTGAGCCACAACGGGCTGACCTTCGTGTCCACCGAGGCCTTCGCGGCCGTGCCCCGCCTGCGCCACCTCGACCTGTCCAACAACCGCCTGCGCGCGCTGGACGAGAACCTGTTCAGCGACCTGGGCGAGCTGGAGGTGCTGCTGCTCTACAACAACGAGATCTCCAGCGTGGACCGCACGGCCTTCGAGAACCTGGGCCGGCTGCGCAAGCTCTACCTGGGCCGCAACCGCATCGCCCGCTTCCCGCTGGAGCTGCTGCGCGAGGGCTCGCGGCTGCCGCGCCTGGCGCTGCTCGACCTGTCGTCCAACCGGCTGCACAACGTGCCCGCCGGGGAGCTGCAGGCGCTGCCCGCCTGGCTGCGCGACCGCCTCTACCTGCACGACAACCCGCTGGGCTGCAACTGCGCCCTGTTCCAGCTGCTCGCCCGCGGCCGCCGCCGCCGCCTCAGCGCCGTGCTGGACTTCCAGGAGGAGCTGACGTGCCGCCTGCCCGGCTCCCCGCCCGCCTCCGTGGCCATCCTGGAGCTGGCGGGGCGGCAGGACCTCAACTGCAGCGAGGCGCGCGAGGCCGTGCTGGAGGCTCACCTGGGCGACAGCGTCACCCTGGGCTGCGACAGCCGCTGGCAGGAGGGCAGCCGCCACTGGGTGACGCCGGCGGGGGACAGGGTGATGCCGGGGGACGGCGGCGGCAATGGCACGGTGGCCCTGCTGGCCAACGGCAGCCTGGAGCTGCGGGCGCTGCGGGCCGAGGACGCGGGCACCTACGCGTGCTGGGTGGCGGGGCCGCTGCTCAACGAGACCCTCTACGTGGAGCTGCTGGTGCACAACTTCACCCTGCACGGCCCCCACGACACCCTGAACACGGCCTACACCACGCTGGTGGGCTGCATCCTGAGCGTGGTGCTGGTGCTCATCTACCTGTACCTGACCCCGTGCCGCTGCTGCTGCTGCCGCGCCGCCGAGAAGGCGCCGGCGCCGCGCGACGACAGCATCAACTCCTCGGTGCTCAGCACCACCCCAAACCACGACGGGGGGCACGGGGGGGGGCACGGCGAGCCCCGGCCCGCCCCGGGGGGGGGCTCCGGGCAGAACGGCAGGTTCAAGGGAGGGGCGGGGACCCCCCCGCCGGCCGCCCCCCGGGGCCCCAAGGGGCAGAGGAAGGTGTCCGACCCCGACTCGGTGAGTTCCGTGTTCTCCGACACCCCCATCGTGGTGTGAGCGGCGCCGGGGACGGGCCCCGGGACGTCCCGTGAGCTGTCCCCGGGAAGGAGGGGTGGCCGGACCCCCGCTGCCGCGTCCCCAGGTTGGGGGTCACCCCGTTGCCCCCCAGGACTGAGCGTTGTCGCCGTCCCCCCTCTGCCGAGGTCACTGTCACTGCGGGACCACGAGGGACGAGCGTGTGAGGGGACGCGGTGGGGACGGTCCCCAGGCAGGAGGGGTGGCCGGATCCCCACCACCGTGTCCCCAGCTTGGGGGTCACCCCGTTGCCCCCCAGGACCTGCCGAGGGCACTGCAAGGGACAAGGGTGTGCAAGGACACTGGCAGGACACGGTGGGGACAGTCCCAGGGACACCCCATGTCCCCGCTGCTGCCGTGACAGTCCCCAGGCAGGAGGGGTGGCCGGACCCCCAGCACTGTGTCCCCAGCTTGGGGGGTCATGGCATTGCCCCCCAGGACTGAGATCACCCCAGGAGCCCCCCGAGGTCACCGTGGGACTGTGAGGGATGAGGGTGTGAGGGGACACGGTGGGGACAGTCCCAGACACCCCTGATGTCCCCACCGCTGCTGGGACCTGTCCTGGCAGAGGGGTGGCCGGACCCCCAGCACCGTGTCCCCAGCTTGGGGGTCACCTCATCCCCCCCAGGACTGAGCATCACCCCCCAGGACCGCCCAGGTCACCGTGGGACCGTGAGGGACAAGGGTGTGAGGGGACACCAGAAGGACCCCCCAGGGACACCCTGTGTCCCCCCCACTGCTGTGACAGTCCCCAGAATGGAGGCGTGGCCAGATCCCCCCCCACTATGTCCCCAGCTTGGGGGTCACCCCATCACCTCCCAGGACCCCCCCAGGTCACTGTGGGGACAACGTGGGCACCGCAGAGCAGGGGGGGCCCCACTGGTGACAGTGACAGCGCTGTGACCCCCCCAGGATCCTCCCAGAGCAGCCCCCCCCCCTGCGGCCGCAGCCCCCCCAGTCTTCACTACCCCCCACCCCCAGCATGTGACCCCCCAGCATGACCCCCCCGGGGAGCACGAGCCCCCCTGGGCAGGGGACACCGGGGGTGTGCCCCCCACCCTCCCCGAGACCCCCCAACACCCTCCTGGCCCCCCTGCAAACCCCCCCCCGCGAGGAGAGCACCCCCCGCACGCAGGGGGGGACCCCGGGGGTCCCGGCCCCCAAAGGGTGCCCTGTGTCCCCCCCTCCCCTCCCCGGCCGTGCCCCCCCCCCGCGCTGATGCCTTGGCCAAAATAAACGTGTTCCCCCCCCC